TTTACAGGGAAGGCTGTAAATTTGCAGATATATATATAGATATAGATATATATAGATATATAGATAGATAGATAGATATAGATATAGATATATATGTATGTTTGAGCTTAAGAAAAATTTCTCTCAACAGAGAATTCTAGTAGACCACTGATTACCCAGGGCAGGTGCTTAGGAGAGGTCTCAGCTAGAAATTAAGGCATAGTTCAGTGATTGCAAACCGATAGCCCATGGGCCAAATCCTGCCCACAGGCTTGTTTACACAGAGCAACATTTTTTAAATTTTTGTATTAGCGGAAAACTTTTTTAAATGAGAAGATTTCACATAAAAATTTGGATTTTCGGGCTGGGGTTGTGGCTCAGTGGTAGAGCGCTCGCCTAGCATGCACAAGGCACTGGGTTCAATCCTCAGCACCACATAAATGTAAAATAAAGATATTGTGTCCACCTAAAACTAAAAAATAAATATTTTTTTAAAAAATTTGGATTTTCTACCTCTGTTTAAAAAGTTGAAGATCTATCCCAGGCAACTCAGGAGGCTATGACAGGAGGATCACAAGTTTGAGGCCAGCCTCAGCAACCTAGCGAGCCCTTCAGCAACTGAGTCTCAAAATAAAAAATAAAAAGGACTGGGATGTAACTCAGCAGTAAAGTTCCGCAGGGTTCAATCTCTAATACCAAACACACACACACACACACACACACACACACGGTTGAAGATCTATTGAGATGAAACTCACATTCCCTTAAACTAGTCAAAAAAAGCAAAGTCTGAGAAGTGACATCCCCTTAGATGGGAACATCTTCTGCAGATCACCATACAGCCTACATCCCATTATCTCCGCCATGCCAGTGGGTCCAGGTGCCATCGTTATCATGGTTGTGTGATTATTCTTCTTAGAGCAAAGCTAACAGAAAAATGAAATAATTCTTACACTAGTGTCTCCATTAGCAGTGGGAAAATGAAAGCTACTGAAGAACTGAGTGGTTTGAGTGTAAAACATTTCTTATTCTTATCTCACATTGTATTATCTGTCTCGTTCCTAAAGGCATTTGACATTGTAACCTCTGGCATCGTTTCAAAAGATAATTTGAGTTACTCTCATGATCCTCAGCTTTGAGATTCATTGCCCAGAAGCTCAGGAGCAGATGATCCTGTCTCATAAGACTACAGTGCTTTGGGGTCAACCTCTGCTCTTCATTTATTTTCTTTGAGGTGTGCAGAAAACTATTTTTAATCCTTGTTAAACTGGTGGTAATTTATTTATAATAAAATTAAGTGTCTTGATATTCTTTTCTGATGATATCAATGATGAATGAAGGTTTCACTGTTTCTCAATGGAGTAAGTAATAAAGCACCAGTAGTAGACAAATATTAGGTCATGCTTATTTTAACAATTATAGGCCTTGTAAACCTATTAGAAATATTACCTCTCTGTGTAGCAGAGATCTATTTACAGAATTCTAAAACCTCCTTAGGTTGAAGAATGAAGCATATCTTATGTTAGGATGAAGCATAAAATAGCTTTATTTAAGTAATTAAAAAAAAAAAAACAGCTAACAAGAACTTTCTCTGCTTGCGTTCATGTCTTAATTCTGCCATGAATTTGCTGTCAGTTTTTGAATAAGTTAATTAACCTTTCTGTAAAATGGGCATTAAATAATAACTGAATGATCTGCCTCTTAGAACTGTGGGAGTTAATCCATAATACACTTTTTAAAACCATAAAATGTTTTACAAATTTGAATTTTAGTTACATTTTCTGTAGATAACAACAAATAGTATGCGTGGAATCTGCCTCATGTTCAAGCCGACCTTTCATCAGCTTCCTCCTGGTTTATTAATAGTACATTGAAAGTTGAACTCAGCAAGAAAGAAGCTTTTCAAAGGTGTTGGGCAAGAAAATATCGCAGAGCAATATGTTTTTACATTGACATGTCCTTTTCGAGGGTCACTTTTGACTTCCCTGTGGTATCCCTTAATGCTGACTTATATTTAATATTTTAATATGTTTTTCTAAAAAAGCCTGACCCTCAGGGGCTAGGAGTTTGTGCAACTTACTAAAAGATTAAAAACAAGCCATGTGTGGTGGTGCACACCTGCAATCCCTGTCACTTGGGAAGCTGAGGCAGGAGGAACACAAGTTCAAGACCCTGCCTCAAAATAAAAAGGGCTAGAGATGTAGCTCAGTGGTAGAGCACCCCTGGGATCAATCCCTGGTACCACAAAACACAGAGATAAAGAAAGAGAAAAAGAGAAGAGAGAGATGAAGAGGGAAGAAAAGAAACAAAACAAAAATTAACATTGCAAATTGCTATCTCCTAGGTAACAGGAGTTGCAATGGTGCCCTCTTATTGAGGGTGTTCTCTCCATGTCCCTCATATCCCCACAGATGAATGCATACGACATGTGTTTAGAGGAAATTATTCTCGGCACTAAGCAGAGGCGAATGAATCTTTGTGCTCTTTATAAATGTTAAGAGCTCCCAAATATGATGGTCACTGATTCTCTTAACCAATAGTGACTTTTAAAATATTTAAATTATCTCTGGAGTTTTCTTTTTTAAAAATATTTTTAGTTGTAGATGGACACAATACCTTTATTTTGTTTATTTGGGCTTTTTTTTTTTTTAAATATGGTGCTTGGGATCGAACCCAGGGCCTCATGCATGCTGCCACTGAGCCACAGCCCCAGCCCTGTTTTCTTTGTATTCTAACCACATCAGAAATATGTTAGGAAACAGAAGATTTTAAAATTATATTTAGATTTGAGATTCGTTTGTTTAAACATATGTACAAATCACCATTTTTTCTTTTTCTTTTTTTTTTTTTGAGATGATAGGAACTAGTATCTATTATATGCTCATAGAGTGCAAGGCAATGAACCTCGTGTTTTTTAAATATAATTTAATCATTATACTGACCAGATATTAACTTCACATTTTACTTGAAAGGAAACTGAGGTTCATAAAGTTTACAACTCATATTCATGCAACTAAGTTTAAGATTTTAAAAATCTTAGTCTTATTAATATTTAAGTATTAAAAGTGAATATATAAGTATATGTATATATAATCTTTGTCCTCAAAAAAATCTCATCATCTAAGGAAAAACAGAAAACCAAGAATCCCAGGACATTATGTTGACTGATACGTAAAATGTAGTTTAGAAGCTCACAACCCAAAGTAAGAAAACAAGGATGCCCACTTAGTGAAGATGTGAAGATGAGTAGAAGTTCACCAGGTGAGGTAAGAAGGAGGTAGGAAGTTCCTTTTTCAGACTCAACCCCAGGTTCATTCTATGAAAATACCTGAATTAGTGTTGGAATTAAGAATTAAAATAAGATTAGGTGCAGATAAATAAACCAAAATGTGAGTCTTTTTAATAGGATAGACATTTGTTTTTCTGTTACAAAACAGAAAGTCAATAAAGGATAATTCAGAAATATCAGGGCACATCTGTGGTGTCACTGGAAACAAGATTCCTATCTTTCTGTTCCCACTGTCCAAGTTTACAACTTCAAGTCAAAGATGGTTCCTGGAAAGCCTGAAGCTCCAACCATCACATCTCCCTGTAGTTGTAAGGTAATCACTATTAGGAGGAGAAGGAAATAGGAGAAGTTCCAAAAAGTACAGCTCCTAACTAGGTCTGCACCCTCTTAGATGTCTTTTCATAAGTGCAAAGCAATAGATCCAGTCTCATCTTATTGATCAAAACAGACACGTGGCCATGCCTGGGTGCAGGAGTGGCTGAAAATGTCTTTTGTTCTGTGGTGCAAACAATTAAAAAGCAGTATTCTGTTGTCCAGGAGGAAGGGAAGAGCAAGTGAATGGACTGGCAGCTTCTCCCATATTCCAAATACCATTTCTACAAACTAGGATTGTCCTGGGTAAAAATAAGTAAATAAATAAATAATAAAAAATAATCAGTGAATGTGAGTAAGTAAAAGTTGAAGGAACAGAAACACTTCTCAAAGATCAAATGAAAATTACAACAAATAAAATTTAAGAAATGCTCATATTTGTTTCTCTTTCAAACAATTAGAGCAACATTTAGTACATGGAGTATATTTGGCTAAAAAAAATCTTAAAACAGGTATTATTAGTAAACAAGTGTCCCCCTTTATTATCCAATATGAGTAAATATCCATCTGAGTAAATTTGTTAATGTGAAATTAAACCATTGGTGATAACCTAAAAATAAAATTCTAACAGTTTAGATTGAGAGAGCTGCTTTGGTTAAAAAAAGAAAGAAAGAAAAACGAAAAAAACAACTTTCACATAAAATTGTTTTTCTTTTTCAAAGCTCTTTCAGGGTGTGTTACCTAATCACAAATTCTAAGCATTCCTTAAATCTTACATACATACTTGATAACATCTAACTGAAAAATCCAGACCCACTAGAAAATTTCCCCCAAAGGTATTTACACTTCCAAGATAGAGACCCAACTGCCAACTCATCCCATATGTTGAACTATGCCTGCATCATTAAATCTGAAGACATACATGTGCTAAATGTGGAAATATTTAAGTTACTAATGAGGGCAGGCCTGCCTGCAAGTTGTCAAAAAACTTCTTTTCAATATTTGAAGCTCTGTGTGCAGTCTTGCTCCTGTTGTGAGGTCTGGTCATGACAACCTGGTTATTTACAGTTGGAGATGGTATCTCTCCTCAGCTCAGTCCTGCTTCCTGAAGTGAAACTTGTTACGTGATATAAGGAACATCTGCCATAGTCATGTTGGGACATGCTGGGACTCACTAAATCGCTGGCCATAAGGAACAGCAACCATAAGCATGCTTAGTGGTGTCTGGTTGCAGCTGATAAGGAGCTGTAAGGAGCACTAGCCATAGGCACACTTATCAATGGCTGGTTACAATTGATAGGGAGCACAGCTCCACGGACATGCGCAAAGAACATGCCCTGTTGCAATTACATTATCTCACTGGACATAACCAATGGACATTGACTTTTACCGGGTGTAACCAATCACCAACATACACCACCAACTTGGAACAATATTTAAATCATTCATCCTGCCAAATCAACGAGGCTGATCTGAGGACATTAGCAAGTCTGGCCGTCTTGCTGTCTGTCCCCAGATCAACTCCACCATTTCCTGACATTCAACCATCAGCTGGAGAGAACCACCAGACAAGGACAACATCTGTTCTTTGGCTAAGAGAAGTCGTGTGGCATCGGAGGTATTTTGGGGCTTGTGGTTGCCCTAGGATTGTGTGATTTGCTTATAGTGTTTAATTTGTGTTCACTGAATGCTAGTTGGGGTGCTCCCACACACCCAACACTTTTTTCATTAATTGTTTATATTTGATGATTGGTGTGATCCAATATATGCTTGCATTTAAAGACAATCCACTTCCGAGTAATTATTAATAGCACCAGTCAAAAAGGTGACCTCCAAGTTAAATTGCTGGAACATTTTTATTTTTGATAGTCACAGATACTTATTGGTTTTCTATTGTTGGGTAAAAAATTTACCAGAAACATAACTGTTTAAAGCAATACCAATTTAAAAGCCCACTTTTTAATAGGTCACAGGTTATACATGACTGAATTCTATATTCAAGGTATCTCAAGATTTAAATTAAGGTATCAATTGGATTAAATTTGCATTGAAGGCCCTGAAAAAAAATCTATTTCCATTTTTTTTTTTTTTTAACCAGGGATCGAACCCAGAGGCACTTAACCATTGAGCCACATCCCCAGCCCTTTTTATTTCTTATTTTGAGACAGGGCCTTGCTATGTTGCTGAGGCTGGCTTTGAAATTGCAATCCTCCTGCCTCAGCCTCCTGAGACACTGGAATTACAGGTCCCAATTCATTCTTGCTGTTTGAAGAATTCAGTTCATTGCAGTGGTAGGTCTGAGGTACCAATTTCCTTTCTGGCTTTCCACCAGGGGCCACTCTCAGTTCCTCCAGGCCATTCTCAATTCTGTGCCATAAGATTCCCTCCATCTTTAAACCTACAATGGTGTGTCAAATGTTTCTTGCACTTCTGATTTCTAACTTTCTTTCTTTGACCAGCTGGAGAAAACTACTTTTAAAGTGCTCATGTGATTAGGTCAGGCCACCGGCACTACCTCCCTACTTCAAGTTTAACTGGGAGAGGTAAGATAACCTTATCATGGAGTAAAATCCATCATGTTCACACTTCCAGAGATTAATTAGGACATGCACACCAGTGGAGTGGAAAATTTTGAGGGGTATTTTAGAATTTTGCTACCACAGTATACCTTCTGAATTGAGAGAGAAAGTGACAGGGCAGAGAATGGTCAATATCTGTTGGGATTATAACTCTACACTGACGGCAAATTTTTTAGGGTTTCTTTTCCCCTACTACTGAAGTGCCTATTTCCCATGTTAAGCAAATATCCATCCTTTACTCTTTCTGATTCCTCTGAATAAAAATGAAGTTTAAATGCCCTGCAAAGACTGAATGAGATTTGCCTGAAATATGTTGCCTTGGGACTAATAAAGGAGTCTAACTTCGCAGGGACATTATCAGGTGCATTCAGAACACTGGAAATAAAGAAATGATCCTTGAAGTAGAGACTTCTATGCCCAGTGCACCAGGATTAATAAAGGAGACTGACGTTGGAGTTGTGGCTCAGTGGTACAGCACTTGCCTAGTATATGTGAGACACTGGGTTCAATTCTCAGCACCGCATATAAATAAATGAATAAAATAAAGGAAGGTCCATCAACATCTAAAAAGAAATTTTCAAAAGATTACCAAAAAAAAAGGAGACTGAGCTGTTTGCTACATATTTCCAAGCAGGACCCAAAGAGAAGTTACATACCTGATTATTGGATAAATGTCATCCCTTGTCATCCTCAAATGGCACCATAGGAGAAGCCTGCAAAATGGGCAAAAGAAATACTTCTGTTTTTATGTCCCCTAAATCAACCATCAGAGCTCTGAGATTAGGATTCCATCATGATGTCATTCCCTCCATGAGCCTTCATTTCTGATCCTTTGTTATTTTGATTCATTACCCATGTTTCCAAACATACACATCTATAAATTTCTAAACTGGATAAACATATTATGGGACCCCTGATAAAAATCTATCACAGCTCAAGACAAAAATTAACTTTAGGCATGATAGTAAAAGAGAAATAAAATATTGATTCAGATGGAGGTGGATCACCTTTATAATAGAAGTTCTTGAAAGAGAAAACAGATACTATAGAGGAGAGAAAATTACCAAAGAACTAATACAAGAACATTTTCCATAATGAAAGGATGTAAGTTTCCAGATGAATGGTCTCACCAAGGGCTCAAAACAATGTTTGGGGAATAAAAAAGATGCACAGGGACATTATCGGGTGCATTCAGAACACTGGGAATAAAGAAATGATACTTGAAGTAGAGAAAGCAAGAGGGATAGATATAAAGAGATCAGATTCAAAGGGTTTGAATAGAATCAGGAATCAGAATGGCACCTCTAAGTGTTTATCTGCAGTGCTAGCATCGTTAATTCATGGAAGATAATGCCCTCAAAGTTCTGAGGAAAAAATTATATCCAACCTAGACTTCTATTCCCAGTGCACCAGGATTAATATATAAGGATGATTTCTACACCGTTTTTTGGTACAGTAAGACCCCAGACACAACCTAAATACCTACTCTTAGAGTTGAAAAAAAAAATGATACACTTTATAACCTTCTGACCATTTAAAACAATTAATTCAATAAATTTTATTGATAAATGGAATTAGTCTATGTGTACTGATCTGAAAAGAACTACAGTATACATTAGGTTTTTGTTTTTTTTTTTATGTACACACATATGTAAACAATATAGATAAAATAACCAGAAAGAAAATCTTCTGTGTGCTTATTGTGACTGCCTTTGGGGGATAGTACCTAGAAGTTTAGCTTTTACTTTTTATTCAGTACAGTTCTATAATAATCAGTATTTTCCTTAAGATGTACAAATTGTTTTTAAAAGATGTGCAGCATATACTTCATTTCTTTGTAGTGACAGCACCATCTAGTGGTCAGTGTTAACTTATCTTTTAAGATATTTTTATTTTATTTTAAAATGATGTGATATTTAATATTTTAATACTAAAAAAAAAAAAAAAAAAAAAAACACGCCACCACAGCACAGGAAGAAAATATTTTAATGTGGCATTTAGAAGTAAACCATCATAACTATTTAAGAAAGTTCATGTCTTAGAAGAATCTCCATAATATAGTAAATATAAAAATTAAAATGCAGAAAAATTTGTGTAACAATCTATCACTTGTGCTAAAAAAATGCATAGTATTTTTATATAAAATTGATTACATATGCATAAAGTATATCTAGAAGGATACACACAAAAACTAGAGACATTGGTTGTATTTAGTAACTATAAGGCTAAAAATGAGAACCAGAATTTATGCTGTGTACCTTTCAAATTGTTAATTTCATTAATATAAAATGCAAATTAAAATAAAATTTATAGGGGCTGGGGTTGTGGCTCAGCAGTAGAGTGCTCGCCTAGCACATTCGAGGTCCTGGATTCAATCCTCAGCACCACATTAATTAATTAATTAATAGAGGTATTAAAAAATATATACAGTTTATATGTAAGGAAAATTTTCTCCATGCTGCTTTCAGGTTCTGAGGTTATAAATGCTTTCTTATTTTTTACATGTATTATTTATACCACATGTGAAAGTAGAATTTTCCTTGAAATAAAACTCAGAAGGACACAGAACCAAAATTATCTCTTTAGGGTTCAAGTTTAGAAGTTGTCTCAAACACCCTGAAAAAAAATATAAAGTTCTCTACTCAAAAATAATAATAATAATAATTGTTTTCACCCTATACCCTCACTCTAGTTTAAGAGGTCCAAGCATTCTGGGTTCCCAAATTGAAGTCCAAAGGCATATCACTCCAAAAGATTGCTCACTGTTAAAAGAAACAAGTACAAACCCCTAGAGTAGACACAATACATTATCAAGAACAACTGGTGTCAGACCAACTCTGTTTCCTAGATTCAACTTGGAGTAATCAACAAAATAGCATAACTGGCTGCCAGCAAGTCCTTGATAGTGTCCTCAGGATGATGTGCAATTAAATAGAAAAGATTAAGTGGATGATAATGTCCATAGAAGGATAAATAGCCATTAAGTAACATAACCAGAGTGTTGATTAATAGATTTAAATCAGATTATAGATTTCTAGGGTTATCTTCAGCCCATGTTTTTCAAGAGCTCTACCAGTAACTTAGAGAAAACAATGTGCTTATCAAGTTTGTGAAAGACACAAAACTGGGGGAAGTAGCATACACATTAATGACAGAGTCAGATGGACCTGATATTGTGCAAAAATTAATAAAATGCACTAGGGGAAAAACAATGAAAGTACCTTCATTTATTTTCAAAGAAACTATTTTCAACAGTAGAGAACAGAAAAGGTCTGGTTTACCTTCCCCAGGTGCAAAGTAGACTTGGGAATACTAATTCATTGTATAAATTTATTTTATAACTAGATTACATAACATATAACATTAAAATTCTGTTTTACAATGTATTTCCTGTTTAAGGAAGGAACACTGTCCAGAATGAAGAGGCAATATTCCTGCCCTGTGGTGTGATGAAGGGAACCCCTGTGGACACTGTACATTCCTCTGTACACTGCACTTCCTGGATGCACACTTAGCAAACTAGCAAGTTTTTAAACAAAAGACGCGGAGTTTTAGGGGATCTGATTTTATCACATAAGCAAAAGCAAATAAAATAATTAGCATACTCAAATCTCAGAACAGCACAGCTGTCTTAAGATATTCCAATAGCTCTCAGGTAGAAGAAAGAATAAAGTGTTCTATGAACCTCAAAGTTTGAAAATACCTTTCGGGCAGAAATTTCAGGGCAATGAAATTTACTTTAATGTAAGTTGGGCTTTTCTAATAGTCAGAACTCCCCAAATATGGAATAGATTACCTCAAAAACTAGTATATTCCTTATACTTAAAAACTTAATCAAAAGGAGGCAACTTCTAGGTGGAAGTATGCAGGGCACATCTTATGGCACTGGCTAGAACTTCCAGTATGATGTTAAAGTAGTTGAAGTGGATAGTGTTGCTCTGCAGAGATAACATTCAATCTTTCATCTTCAAGTATGGTGTTAACTCTAGGGTTCTAGCCCTTCGTCAGATTGAAGAAGACCCACTCTATTTCTAATTTGTTAGGGATTTTTTATCATTGGAGTACTGTTGAGAAGGCTGATGTAAGAATCCTACAGAACCATACAGTTCTGTGACCAACATGGACTGTGAGAGAGCTATTAGTTTCCCTATCTCAACTTCTCTTGCTTTTTCAGACATCCATGTGATACTTCTGGTACTGTGGGGAAGATGGCAGACTTTTATACCTTCCAGATTTTACAAACTGGAGAGCTTTACAAAATCCACATAATTATATCTCAGGGTGTTATGTGCATTTTTTAAAACTTTGATTGTAAACCTTTTTTTTTTTTTTAACTTAAGACCAAAGGTTTAGGTTTAGTTTGTAAAATCTGGATAATATAAAGACTTTAAAGAATGACAAAAGTTAGACATCAGTGCTCCAACAAATGTTCAGGTTTTCCAAATCAAATTCATCCTCAGCCCTCACCCTTTTCATCCTTGTTAATTCTCCTCCTCCTTTTTTCTTTTCCCAGCTGAACTTGAAATGGAAACTAAACTGTCTAAAAGGTAGCACTGGATCCTTTTTGAAGTATATTTTCTACTGATTAAGTTCTTAGTAAAAAATCAAGTTCTCAGGGGCTGTGGGTATATATGCTTAGCATGCGGGAGGCCCTGGGTTCAATCCCCAGCAACAAAACAAAAAACAAAAAAAGACAATGTTAAACTTCAATTTTCTCTGAACTGTGGAAAGATAGGGTCTTCCAAAAAAGTGTGCCCCAGAGAGGGAAGGTTAATGTCACATTAATCCCTAATATGCCTAGAGACCATAAGGTATGGTATCAGGATTCGAGCTTCATATGAACACATCTGATTCTCTCCCATAACAGTTTTGAACTGACTGAAATCACACATGGAGAAAATAAGCTTCCCAATGTGGTGATATCCCATCTTAGCCGCCCATCCTCTAGGCTTCACCATCCCCCACGTCTTCAATATCCAAGCTGCGGATTTTGCACACAAACTTGGTGCTATTTGACAACATGATCCTAACTCGACTTTTCTGACACCTACCATTTCAACTTTGTCCATGATTTCCTACTCATATGCTGGCTAGGCCACCCACACCATTTCTCTTAAAACCTATAAGCAGTACACACCAACTCAAATGCAACTCTCCAGAGCAAGCAACATCACAACTGAAATGAGGTACCACTCTCCTTCAGTTTGGGATTAAATCACACGTAGGAGTATAGCAGCAGTTGCTAAGCTTTTTACCAAATATGAACATCAGTATGGGCAGGAAAGGAGAAAGCCCAGTATGAACATATGAGCCCAATATGAGCAGGATAAGTGCTAAAACAGAAAAATGAACAAAAGGATATAAATGCCTGAAATATACAGACATCAGATGGGAGAGGAAATTTTTAAATGGAGAATCTATTAAATAAAATTATAACCAAGCATAGTGGCATACACCTGTCATCCCAGCTACTTAGGAGACTGGAGGCAGCAGGATCTTAAGTCTGAGGCCAGCCTCAGCAACTTTGTAAGACCCTGTGTCAAAATTTAAAAAAAAATAAATAAAAAGGATGGGAGGTGTAATTCAATGGTAAAGCTCCTCTGGGTTCAGCCCCCCAGTACTTAAAAAAAAGAATATATAAAATGTGACTCATATGCACATAAATTATACATATACACACCTACCTATGGTAAGAAGCCTAGATGAACACCCTTCAAATATATTAATGGATGTCAGAGCAAAAGAACTAAAATATTAAGGGGGAAAAATGACTATTAGATGATGAAAGGTCTAGGTGTAATGATCACAGTGCCATATGCCAGCCATGTGCATGAATGGAGAAGTTGACTATAAGAGAAATCATGAGAAAAGTCTTGAATTTGAAGAAAAACAGAGGAATCCAAGATGGCATCAGGTTTTGACTTCAAGTGAGAGACTTAGGAAAGTCTAAAGCAGTGTTACTCAATAAAAATATAAGGCACATATGTAATTATAAATTTTCTAATAGTCACATTTTAAAAAGCAAGAACAGTAAAATTAATTTTAATGTATTTAATTTAATCCCATATACCAAAATATCATCATTTCAACCTATAACTCCATGTATTTCACACTCAATTTTGACTAGCTATTTTCCAACATGTGACTGTAACTATTATATTGGACAGGACAGAAAGATTAAATTTGAGAAAAAATACCATGCTTTAAAAATAATAAGTTTAAGAAGCCAAAAGAGCTTCTATATAAAACTATTCAGCAAATTGTTAGAGCTAAAGAATCAAAGTGCAGAGAAATGCTCGGCATTAGATGTGGACATGTGAACAGTCCATTGCTTGAAACAACACAGCCATGAAAGAAGGTGAGAAGGAATGGTAAGCACAATTTGCCAGAGAATGTACTTCACAACCTCAGTTGCTCCAAATGCTTATTTTTTATGACTAATTAACCATAGCATTTTCATATATTTAAAGATGAGAGAGCTCATGCTATGTGCAAAACTATTCAACCTACAAAGAATATGTAGGGCACACATGAATTTAGCAACCCTTCTACCAATCTCCTCCATTCAAAAGGTGTCAGTTTGGGAACACTTATATATTGCTAAAGTCTTTCCAGATTGTTGCTCTTAGTCCTTGATGAATTAATTAACACTTTTAAGATAAAAATAATGAATAAGAGGAAAGTAAAGAAGTGAGATCTCCTCATTGCCAGAGTAAACAACAAAAGAAAACAGTTAAGGGCTAGAGTTTTGGCTTAGTGATAGAGTGCTCACCTAGCATATGCGGGGCCCTGGGTTCAATCCTCAGCACCACATAAAAATAAGTAAATAAATAAAGGTATTGTGTCCAACTACAACTAAAAAATACATTTAAAAAAAAAAAACTTTTAGAAAGGACAGTTAAAGACAACAATAAAAACCAAGACAGAAGTTGGCAACCACCTATAAAGTTCCAAGGTAAACAGGGTTAGGAAAGTTAATTGTTTGCCAAACTTTCATCTAGTCAGCTTGGCTGTTATCATTAAAGTTAAAGAATGCTGTAGAAATTGACCTGTGTTCAGACACGTCACTGCTATGAACCACCTGTTGAATCTCATGTGTGTGTGAGCCAAGGAACAATGTTTGCTTGCCCCAGGCTGTATATATTGTGGTATTTACAGATAGGTGTGTGATAGAAAAAAGTAAACAATTTCATTCATACAGTTTCCTGTTTCCTTCTTGATTCTTCACAAGGAAATGGCTTTTTTCTTTCTTTTTTTTTTTTTTTTTTCCTCTCTTTTTTTATTCTTTACAGATTCCCCCTTGGGAAAAAAAAATCTGATTAAAAACTCCAGCTAGGAGATTAGAAAGCTTTGGTTGGTGAACTGGCACCAGGAAGTGCCTTCATTTTCGAGACCTGGTAGAGTTCGATGAAAACGTTTTTTAACAGACACAGACTGTCCAGTCCTGACCAGGACACTGAAGACTCTGTTTGAATCAGGTTTACAGGTTTCTTCCTAGCCACTCTCAGAGACAGGAATGCTTCTGGTAAGTTTCTATAAAATCCCCATATTTTCTTTACCTTAAAATGAAACTTTCCTTTTTTATTTAGTTCATATTGACTAGTAACATAATATATCATTGCCAAAGATGTGAAATTCTACTTACTGTTATTTCCTGGAGATATTTTTTAACTGTAAAAAAAAATTATGGCTAAAAGATGGGAGGGAAATACTCTGTAGAAGAACTCCTCAGAATGTTTTTCTTCTTCTTTGCTATGTTTGGTTTATTTGTCCTAGTTTTTCCCCCCAAGTTAAAAGATAAGTATTTTCATTTAATTCACAGGTAGAATTAAACAAATTAAATTATCATTTAGTTCTCATACTTTCCTAATATAAAAATATGGTACCATATTTTAGAAAAAGTAAGAAGTAACTTTAAGAGAACTACTTCTGAGAGACATAAATAATGATTTACTTATTTTTAATTTAGGATTAAAATCAGATATATCAGATATATAATAACATTTCCTCCTAAATATTTATGTTGCCTTTATATTACAAAAAATCTTAATAACTAATCTGTGGTTGCGATTATTTTTTCTAGATATTGAACCCAGAAATCTGAGGTAACTTGCCTCAAAAATTTGCCTCAAACTGAATCAAATTGACGTTGTTGACTTGTCTATTGTGTCAAGTATAAAAAATAAATATAAAAAATGTCCTCTTTGAGGACAGAGCATAGCAACTGCATCCTCAACAAAATAAAAACATACTCTTTAGAATGCAATATTTAATAATTGCGCACACACACACACACACACAAATGCTGTTTTTCATATCTAAAGACCTACCCAAGAGTAGGTCTCGGACTTTAGTAGCAAAGCCTTTTGTTCCACACTTTATTATGAAAATTGTTCAAACACAAAGAAAAATTGGAATAATCACACCATGAACACCCTGATACTTACCATGTTGCTTCTACAATTAACATTATATTGGCTCCTTCACATACTATCTAATATCCAACCATCTATTTGTTTATTAATTCTTCTCCTTTATTTCTGTGGTTCATTTCAAAGTTGCAGACCTTAGTAAACTTGACCTCTAAACATTTATGAAAGAATATTAGTCACTAAATTTCAATACTTGTTTAACTTTTTCCTTAAAATTCACATCTAAATGAAATGCCAAATCTTTAATGTACCATTTGATGGGTTTTGATGAATGCATACACCTATGCAATTCAAACTCCTGTGAGGATATAGAATACCACCACCACTCTAAATTTAAAAAGTTCCTTCATTTGCCTACCCAGTCAGTCACTGCTCCCTTCCAACCAAGGGACAAACTCTTTTTTATGCAGATATATGATGCATAATATTTTTAAGTCTCATTCATGTTGTGTATAATCAATGTCATTCCTTTTTAAAATTTTTTTAGTGCATTATGTAATTCCTTTGTTATTGTTGAATAGTATTCCATTATATGGTCATGTAACGCTTTGTGTATACATTCTCTTATTGATGGACACCTGAGCCTTGCTTAGCTTGAGGCTATTATGAATAAGCCTGTTATGAACATATGTAAGTCTTTCTCTGGACATATGTTTCCTGACTTTTGTGTAAATACCTAGGAATAGAATCGCTGGGTCATAATGTAGTTATAATTTCAATCTTTTCAGACAGTGCTAAGGCACTTTCCCAAGGAATCATATCATTTTAACAACCTCGTCAACTTCATATGAGAATTTCAAATATTTCCAATCCTTAACAATTTGGGAGTTTTAATTTAAATCTTTGGGCTGGGAATGTAGCTCAGTGGAGAGCACATGTCTACAATATACTAGTCCCCAGATTCATCTCCAGCAAAGGAAAATACATAAATATACAAAATGTATATACTTTTCATTTATATATTTATGTTTTCATAT